AATATATGTATAATAGCACTTGTACCAGGATAAAAAGCGTAGGAGGAAAATCAGAAGGTTTTCGGGTAAGAGTAGGAGTGCACCAAGGTTCTGCTTTAAGCCCTTACTTATTCTCTATAATGATGGATGAAATTACTAGAGAAATACAAGGAGAGGTGCCGTGGTGCATGTTGTTTGCTGACGATATAGTATTAATAGGAGAAAATAGAGAGTAAATTAATCAAACGCTAGAGGTGTGGAGATCAGCTCTTGAAGAAAAGGGTTTAAGAATAAGTTGAAGTAAGACAGAGTATATAGAGTACGAGTTTGACAAAGGAGAACACGAGGTAGGTGAAATGAGGAGGCCAGGGACAATAGGCGAGGACGTGATTGGAGAGGTGGAGACCTTTAAGAATTTAGAGTGAGTTGTGCAAAAGAGAGATGGTATTGACGAGGATGTAAGACACAGAATTAAGTGCGGGTGGTTGAAGTGGAAAGAAGAGTGTGGTGTTTTATGCGAGGTGGAGGGATGCTATTGAATGCAATTTGAGGACAACTGATGTGAGCTTAAATGATGTGAGAGATCGTGTCAAGTGGAAGTTTAGGATAAGGGTGGCCGATATCAAGTAGTTGGGATTAGGCGAGAAAGAAGAAGAGTTTAATATACATATTAACACAGTACCGTATATTTTGCAATACGTTTAATACACGGTCACCTCGTCTTTTCTATCAACCGCCTTATTACATCGCGAGCTCAGCTTGATTAGAGTACCCCCACTATCTAGCTAGGTTGCAAAGTCCATCTACTGGAACGCGGTCGACCACCGAGCGCCGGCGGTGAACGATCTATCTTGCCATTAACGTCCTACGCAAACTAACGGCACCCGCCTTTTTCTCGCTACGTACTTTCAAGGTACTATCTATATACATTACTACTGCACTAGTGTATCATTTTAAATTTTATTTTGCTATTTAATTTTAAATAAATAAATTTTCATATATATATATCTTTATTTAACATTTTCTTGTTTTAATTTTTTTTTCTCTCAGCTAGTGCTGCTACCTCACTTTGTTCAACGTCTTTTTCTTTTGTTATTTCCTTAAAAAACAAAAAGTTATTGACATTAGGAACAATTCCGTGTCAATATTGTCATTTATGAAAATAAAATTGACACCATTATAAGGTATTCGAGATAAATATTTTATAATTAATAAATCGAGAAATATATAGTACTAAAAAATATCAATTGGCTTTCACCTCATCAATGGGGTTCAATTTGTTAATTGTGCTTTCTGTAAATTCTTCAAATGTCACGATATTTTTGTTATCAAGGCTATAAATAGCTTCTTCTTTGATATAGAACCATGAAGGCCGTATCATAAACGATTTTAATTTGTTAAGTGACCGTTTCGATGCATCACAAAAAATTACCATATATATAAAAATTATTACTTTACTCATTGTTTTGTTATAATCAGATTAAGATGTTATGATTTTTATAATATGTATACCGAGTACGCTATTTCGGTTACATAAATTCTACATATTCTTCTAATATTGCGCTCCTATCACTTAATTTAATTTACAAAAATAAAAAATAAAAAATTGCAAAACAATTATTTTATTTATAGACGAATAAAATTATGCGTTATAATATTTTCTGTTTATAACAATTTTTATAGTTAGTTCTTTAGTATAAACAGTTATTTCTAAAATACATACATTATTCTTTTTAAATATAATTCAACTACGCATTAAACAATTAAAAGCTAGCAAAAACTTTTTTCATTTTTGACATCTTTTAAGCTTCGTTGAGAAGCTGGGAAGGTATTGGTTTTACTATGATGTGTTTTTTTTTTGTATGTCTGTTACCACTTTTTCTCAGCTCTTACCGAACCGATTTCTTTCAATGATACGTCAAAAGATCACAAATCGTATCTAGTCATTACCCTCAAAAATTGAAAAAATTTCCCTCGTTACCCGTAAATGGGGAAAACCTCCAAAAACATTACAAATTAAAGTCGCTAATTTTTTCCATTTTTTTTTTGTTAAAACTGTCATAACTTTTTTAAAAATGACCAAATCAATAAAATAACTATAATTTGGTATATTTTTTTTATAAATCTGACCTTTTACCTGCCTACAGGGAGGGATTCAAAATGACAACTTTTTCACAAAAATTGACTTTTTCAACTTAAATTTTGAAAGTGTTCCGGAAAGTCTGACACTTTTATATATATATTAAATTAAAGCTAATGTAATCTACTTTATTATGTAAAAAAAAAATTTCGAACTTTATTTTGTCTTCACGGTGAAAATGGCTACCAAATGCTATTTTGGTGTGAAAATTCTCGATTTTGTATTTTACATTTTTACTTTATTATGCTATAACTTTTTGAAAAATGTATAGATCAATACAATTTTTTCATGAGAAGTATTATTAATATACTTCTTTTATTCGACATACTGATGTCTATTTATGATGATATAATTATTATGTTATAAATTATTTAAAATTATAAGAAGAGATTAAAAATATTGGTTTAAAAATTATATTACGAAAAAAAAAACTTGATTTTCAAAATTTCATTAAAAAAATTTTGTTTAGTATAAAAATTATTTTAATTGTAAAATCTTATATTTTAGACGGTAAACAAAAGCTTTTACTATTACAAAATGTATTTTAATTAATTTTTCTTGTATTTCTTTGAGCTTAAACACGGCTTATATTTATTAGTTTTATGTGTATTTACATTTATATAATCATTTTTTTGAATTGAATTTTTGTATTATTAATATTACAATACATTTAATTATTATGATACGAGTATATACACTTATTCGTTCGTAGTAGCACATCGATTACCGTTAATTAATGTGTCCTCATTGCGACGCGATGTATTTATTACATGTTTTGTTCTTATTTGTTCCGTATCATCGAGTAGTGGAAATTCTAAATAGATTATTTATTTTTAAAACTTAATTGCACAGTCGGTGGCAGATTTACATAATTCCAATTCCACAATATTATGTCGATTATAACATTGCATTTACGATAAAACAATATTTTGAAAAAAATTAAAGTCCAAAAAAAAATTATAACGTTACAAGTCGCGTGGGGGTCAACATGACCCATTTCAATTTTGATGGATATTTTAAGTCATCATTTTTTTTTCGAAGGTATTTATTTATAAAAATCAATTCAATATTACTATAAAAACCATCTTCTAAATTTATATCTATGTACACCTTTTATGCAATATAATACATCCGTTTTTATTTATGTGGGAGTATGTTAGACCCCCACGCGACTGTTTAAGGGTTAAGGTATACTTTATTTTTCATTTGTCTAGTCCATTGCACAAATATATTTGTTTACATAAACAAATACATATATAGTCAAATATATTCTGATACATAACTGAACAATTAATATTGTATCTATTATATTATATTTTGACATTTTTTATAACTATTATAATAGATATTCTATATCATAAATTAATAATTTAAGTTAATCTGTGCATAAATAATCAATAGAATTGTCTGATTAAAATAAGGGAATAATAGTCAAGGCGAATATTTTGAGTCGTAAGTATAAATATAAATTTAACCCTTTACTTGACCACAGGGGGGATTTAATATGACAACTTTTTTACGAAAAATTAACTTTTACAACTTAACTTTTGAAAGTATTCCGGAAGGTCTGATACTTTTATATATATCTTAAATAAAAGCTAATGTAATGTTATTTATTATGGAAAAAAAAAATTTGACCTCTGGAATTGTCTTTATGGTGAAAATAGACATCAAAGTTAATAAAGAATTACGATTTTTGTAAAATAACTCATTTTTATATTTTAAACTTAATAATGCTATAACTTTTCGGAAAATGGAAAGGAACTAGCACATCATGTAGCTTTTGGAATAATCCACCAATTTTTTAAAATTAAACATTGTCTAAAGATTTGCATCGAAACGTTTTTTTTTTTTTGATAGTGATTTTAATTACTGTCGGATATCATTATACTTGATCCAACTATGCCACGTCACCACTGTGCCGCGACCCCCCTGTGCTGGGTTTATTGATATTAGCGTTACCAGTCCACCTGATGTCTTGTATAGCTAATACGTCCAGTTTATACTTGTTTTTCTCTTAGAGTACATATTTTAGAGCTCCAGGTTTGTTTAAAATTCTTATGTTCCAATTTCCCAAATTTAGTCCGTTTTCCGATCCCAGTTGTTTTCCATGATTCATCCAGTTCGGAGGTTTATTTAATGGTTTTTATTTGATGGAAAATTTATATACTAATAATTAATATTATTTAGCATGAAAATATTTCGTTTTTTTCTCAATTCATTTTTAAATTATTGTTATCGTGTAAAATTATACACAAAAATTTAATTTTTCATAAACTTTTTAATGCTACAGATAATTTACTACTGAACTTTATAATAAGATATTTTTTTTTCAAATTTTTTGTTAAAATCTACTATGCAAAATAGTTATCTTGAAATTCTTTTTATAGGTTTTGTAAATTTAACATTTTTTTTTTTAATAAAAAATATATGGCATGTTATGTTATTTGTATAGTCCGAAACTAGAAAAATGATTTAAAAAAAAATTAACTTAAAATATAAACTGGTTCAAAAGTTATTGAATTTATGATAAATTCAACAAGGAAGATATGACATCTTCGTGACTCACTGTGTGTATAATATATTTATAAAAAAAATTGTATTGATCCAATACATATTTCAAATTAGTAATAGTAAAATTAATAATACCTTTGTATCAATGCTAAAATAATATCAAAAAATTTAAAATTGAATTTTCAGTAAAAATAAGACTAAATTTTAAGTAAAAATATATAAATATTTTTTTTTTTGAACAACGATTGTTTAATATTATTTTTTGTAATTACGATATGTATAAATAAAAATGAAATTTTAATAAAATATAAAAAAAATAATAAACATATTAACTAAATATTTTCTTTGAAAATTATTTAGACGTTAGTAAGATAAAATGTTACGAGAGAAATAAACAAGATTTTTTAAATTTTTCTAACAAATCTTCTTTTTTTTGTAGTGGTTGATTAATTATTTCCCAACTTTTCAATTTTAAATACACTAGTATGTGCGGATTCAACGTTACATTGGATTTTTTTAAAGTCTGCACTCTTTTTTTTAGATCATTATGGATTTCCCATAAACCCGTAGAACTTCTGTTTATAAAGCAAACGTAATGTGCCGAAACATAATTTATTATAGCTACAAGTCTGTATCTGAAATTCAATATTTAAAATTAGATATTGTGTCAATAGAATATGGATTTATAGAGTCTCCAACAAGCCAATTCAGTGATACATCATTTAAATTTTAAATTACTCACTTTTTATTCAATATTTTTGGGATATCTTCAAGAAGAATAGATGAAAATTGATCTGTTTCAATGAAAATATGTTTGTTGCATTTTTTAAATGATATATTTTGTTTACCACAAATTTTACATAAGTGTTTTATTTTAGCAAGATATATATCTAATAAACTTTGCAGCATATTGATTTTACAATTTTCTGTTACAGCTTGCAGAACGATTGTTGGTGAATGTCTTGTTATTTCACAGCACGAAGCACAAGAAAGTATTTCTGTTACACTCGGTTCGTCTTTGAAATAGCAAGTTACTATTTTTGAAACATTGCATTGTGCATCAATCATATACACACTTTGATAGAGTTTATGTATAGTGAAGTATTTTTTTAATAACTCAGCTCTTTTATTATAAACTGTTTGAGTTGATCCATTTAATGCTAATTCTTTGACGAATTTCAATAATTCATTTTCAGATTTTTCTATATAGGCCTTATAGCTAAGAGAGTCGTAATACATGGCCGTAATAGCAAAAACAATTGAATTGAAAGCACAAGTGTTCGTTATGCAATATTTATCATTTCCAATTACACACGGTTCAGTCATATTTGAATTAGATAATAGTATTTGATGGTGTGATTTCATTTTTAAAGACTTATTAGAAATCTGTTTGCCGTGTGTAAATCTACTATCAGTGGTTATCCATGTGGTTTTTTCTGAAACACTTCCTAAATGAGGAGATTTTTTCCCTTCGTGTAAACTAGCAAAACTATAAAAAAATGATATAAATCGTCATATTTTTATATTTAGTTTATTTCAAATCCACAATTAAAAAAATAAAACTTATAATATTATAATATTTATAAAAAATATAGTGATCCGATCCTATTTTATTGAAAATATTACTTAAATAATTTTGAAATATCAAACAATACAAAAATTATGTTAAAATACAATTTTTCTTTATCCTATTATATTACAATTATAATTATACAGTTAACACTAAATATAGTTAGTGTTTTATCATAAAATTCAATTTGTCAATACAAAAGCATTTCAATTATTTTAATACACTTTTCTGCTTACTCAAAAAATAGAATCAAAAGTGAAATGATGATAATTATTACTTTTCTGTGTGTCCTTTAATAACCAGAAAATTTTAAAATAAATACTTAAAGGAATTAATTTTGTTATTTATAAGTCATAATAATTATTGAAATTATGCTTCATATAATTTACAGACAAGCTGCCTTACAAATTGTTCTGATACTTATTGTTTCGCTATTTTGTCAATGCTTTGTTAACTAAATACTCTGTTTCATACAGTTATCATAAATGAAAATTTTAGAAGAAAATAACATGTTGAATAAAAATAGCAGTATATCACGAATTGGTACGTTTACTTGTTAGAAAAAGTGGAATAAAGATCTATATATTCTAATTTACTTTTAAAATAGTGCTCTTTATCGTATAGACTATGTTTGACATTTTTTAGGAACTTCGTGATTTTTAAGTTTTGAAAGAAATATTTATTTTTTTTACACTACGCACTACAGAATATGTTTTCAAAAATACTGGACCCCTTTTTAACAATATTCAACAAATGCTTCTATGAGTATACTAGGCATATGAGGTTTTTCTCAGATGTGCTATTAAATTTAGAAAATCTATAAAGGAATATAGTCCTATACAATTTTATCTTACGTAAAAAAAATTTCGAAGAAAAGCAAAATTAAAAAAAAATAAATACATTTTTGAATATACATCATATTGTATTTGAATGATTGGATTATCACTAATATTTATATCCAATAAAATTCCAATAAAAATATTATTTTTATTTCTTTATAATAAACATACAAAAATTGTTTCTCAATGAACATTAATTTAAAATACTAAATATTTATTTAGTAGTTACAGTGGCGTAACAAGAAATTTTTAATCAGAGGCCATAGTAAGGTCGAAATGGAAAATTCATACTTCTATAGACTCTTATAAATTCCTTCATTTGATCATCACCTGACTACGCCAATGATTTGTTTAATTATTTAGTAGAAATCTAAAGTTAATAAATATGATAAAATTATAGAATATTACACATATTGATGATAACTCATTAATAATTTATTAATTAGTCACAGTAAAAAAATACCTACTATAATTTTGTAATTTCTGTTTCATTTTGATTGATTTCATTTCCGATTTTATCATGAATTCCTTGGAATGGCGTTTTAGGTTCTTCGTGTTTATTTAAATTTATGTCATTATCATAACTCATATCAACATTACTTAATTCGTTAGTTTTTAAAATGCTAGATTTTTTTTCTTTTTTCTTCTTTTTTTTCTTTTTTTTAACTATTTTGTTTGTTTCTTTGTCACGAAAAAAATAGTTATTAATAGTATGATACTATAACTTAATAACAAAAATTTTTGATAAAAATGAAAAAAATACCATTTTTATCATTTTGAAAAAAGTGAAGTCCAAAACATAAGACGGTGGCTATAAATGTTAATACAAACACAAAAACCATCATAATATATCCATAATATCGTGGAAATGATGGATATAAATGTCCCTGTAAAGTATTATACAATTTATATTTAATAAGCTTCAAATTTTTTAGATAAAAAGTCTATATGAGAAATTATTCAAAACTAAAAAAAAAATGTAATATAAATCCATACAAATGTATTATTTATAATATCAGAGTATTTTATTAAAATGATTAATTTAAAATGTTTTATCAATTAACTGAGTCTTTTAAAAATGTTTAAGTAATTGATATTTTTATAAATACAAACTATATTAAATAAAAAATACTAGCTTCGTTTAAATATTTTATTCGTTCATAAACAACTAGCTGAAGCAACCAGTGATATAATTTTAAAAAGTAATCAACTCAAAAGTAGTAATTAAAGAACATTTTTTTTTAAATAGTGAGTGAGGTTAAACGATATGTTTTTTTTTTTTATAACTATTCAATTTTTTTTCAATATTATTAGAACTTAAAAAATATCTACCAAATAAGAGACTTACTAAGATGATTGACATTTTAGCAGTTTTATGAACGTTCCTAAATATTTACCCACATTAACCAGACATTTTTTAAAAAACCTTAACATACCTATTTTTAAATAATTAAACAACAACAAAAATTCCATCATAACTTTTCTATGATATTATATAAGCTAAAAAAGACGTCTATATTTTAATATACTCAGTAATTACATATACTCTTAAACAGGTTCATTCATTATGTAGCTATAAAAACTTTACAAAATATTATGTTCTACTGACTTAAAATTCAACTATTATTTTTACTTATAAATAATAGATAATTTTAATGTTGAAAATCATTTACTAAGTCACATCCACTGGCAAAAATAGTTGGACACTTGACACATTTCTCTGATCCCGCAGTTAATTGATGATATCCTTTAGGACATTTAATACACTCCGCTGACATATTTGGACTATAGTGGTGAACTGGACATGCTACACATACTATTCCTAGTAAACCAAAACCACCCAAACAGCTAACTACATTTTGAACTGTCAATCTATCCATATTTGGTTCAAAATTCTTTCTGATCGTCGATAATTTCGTCATCACTAATATAATAAACTATAAATTATAAATCTGTACTATTTTTGTTTTAAATAACAACTAAAAATTACAATGAACTGTCATAGATTTATTTAAATTTTCCGCCAGTACTTGCCATATTTTAGCCAACACTTTTTGATAAAATACTGGACCCTGGCATTTTTTATTATATTTTATTTGCTTCATAAAACCAGTGCTGTAGTTTACTCTAACTGTATAGTTTATTTCTAATTTGTTCTAAAATATTTTATTTCAATTACACTTTTTCAATTTAAATTATACCAATGAGCTAGCTTTATCTAGTTAAAAAATAATAAATTATATCCTAAGTTTCATCAAACAAGTACTTAAGGCTTATATTAGAAAGAATATTAAAAATTGCATAGCTCAGAAGGATGGTTGACAGTTATTAGGTCCAAAATAGTAAGTCCATTTTTTTTTTTGTACATTAATTTAAAAGTCACGACTTTAATGTCTAACAAATAGATTCATTATTAAATGCATTAATCAATATATTGTGAAACAAATTTATAAATCAATTCAATACATAAATAAAATATATATAATTCTTATATATAGAATGTTCAGTAAGTAAGGAAACAGCTTTCTATTGTTTTTATTGTTTGTAACAATTTTCCTGTGTTCCTTACTTCCTGATTACTCTGTGTATTAAATTATACAGAATGATTCTTTTAACGCTAGCCATTCAATTTCTCTTAAAATATTAAGTTTTTTGGAATTTTTTTTTGGTTTTTATTAATTACATATATGTCTTTCCATTTATCTGTTATAAAACAATTTTTAGGTCCATCCCTTATATCTTACAGGAGCGTCAACTTTATGTTATTAAATAGAAAATACATATTTAACTAGCTTATAAAATAAAAAATTATCTAATTGAAAAAATATTTAGTCTATAAAAACTTTTGGACCATTATTTTAGAAGTTATTAACAACTTAAAGTAATGAATGGAAGTGAGGAGTGGGTACTACTATTTTTATCACTTGTTATTTTCTACAGTAGTAAGCATTTTATAAATTATTAAGCAATATAATAATGTTCATATAAAAGGAAAGTGCAGGGTAAGTAAATTAACAATAGTGAGAAAAAGAGTATATAAAGGGAAACATGAAAAGTATAAAGAGATTGACGTTTTGACGAAGAAACGTTGAGTTACGGATCAGGACGTTTGGCGCGTAAAACTAATATTGTATTTTGTTTTTGGACTTATTACGTTACGTGAATAAAATAACTATTTAAAACCGACATACGACATTAGTTATGAAAATAAGAATAACTTCCAAAGTACTGGTCAAAAAGTTATTATCAACTAGTAATTTTCTGGATTATATCATTTTCTATTTTATAAGCCGGTTAAATATGTAAATTGTCATTTAAAAAAATAAAATTGATATAAGGGATAAACCTAATAATTATTTTATAACACATAAATGAAAATACATATGTAACGAACAAAAAACAAAAGAAATTTTTTAAAAACTTAATATTTTATGAGGATTTGTGACTACTATTAAAAGAACAACTCCGTATATAATTTCTTATCTTTTACATCTTATTCCATTTCATTACTGTGTATTAATAAATTGCAAATTTTATTATTTGTTTAATAACTCTCATAGCTATTTACATCCTACGTATCCCTTCTTTGATTTGTTATGAATTCCTTTAAAATTGATGGTCTATAACACACTTAGCCGTCTTTCCATTTCTTCATCAGTATTCTTCGTTTTTGCTGTATATTCGTGATGTATTTTGTTATCTAATAACATCATATTTTATGTGGTTCCTATCTATTAAATTAATCAACACCTTTTCATTGTTAACACCCTTCATACCTTATCTTAAAATTTCTGCAGATGCCAAACTTGGATTAATGTTAATCAATGTTCTACTAATACGATGAACAACTTCTCACGCCTCATTTTCAATGCCTATTGGCGAGTGTAAATGAGTACTTCAATATCATTTGAGTTTCTATATATTCTATAAATCTTTATTCATTATACACCGAGCATAACATAATTGACGTTTTTCACATTACCAATACTTTTTGGTGTGTCTCAATTTTAATGATGACGGCAATAATACCAACCATATATCAATAAAACTTAGTTTTATCTTCATGCAATTAATTTTGAATCCATTATAATGTTACAAATGTAAATAATAAAAATTGTTTGACTGATTGAAAAGAAAAAGATTCCGTGGCTACGGAATAACCGTTAGTCAGGGAGGCTGATAGATAGCCACATAATAACAAGAACATATAAATATCATTATTGTGTTCTTACAGAAAATATTAGGAAACAAAATGAATAAAAATTATTTCTTATAATAATTATTTTTTATATAAATCAATACTATTTATAAAAATGTGTAGTCTAATAAATAAAACATTTTTTTAGACTTAAATAGTCATTGGGATTTGTTTATTAGACGTAATATTTTAGACAAGTGACATCTGGACAAATTGAATTGGATCTATTGTCTTAAAACCTAGAAGGATAATCAGGGGTTTATTCTATACTTTCCTTGAGATTAAAACTACAACACTTATACACAGAGGTAAATCTGTCATCAACGAGATTATATTACATATTAATGTAAAAGACCATAGGGTAGAACTAAAACAAATTAAAATCTATAAACATGCAGAAGCATATGAAAAGAGCCCGAGGTCAGATACATATCCAAGAGTATAAATAAACTACTCTAAAGTTTTCCAAAAAAACATAACTATTGGATTTAAGTTGATAGTAGAGAAAATTCATAATTTATATGAGGGACTATATCCTCTTTCATGCCCTAAACTATGTTGTATGGTCCTAGGTAGACCTGGTTCTTCTGGGTACATGGTCCCAGTTATTTGATTGATTTGCCCCTCTAGATAGAGGATAAGAATACTTCCACGGCCCCTCTTCCAGTCACAAGAGGTAACTAATGAGGTTACACAGGTCGACAGCAGGCATAAAATGTTATAAACATCTTAAACAAAATTTAGGCAGATTGTCCTATCTAGGATGTATATTAGAACAACAGGTGAGAGGAAATACAGTAGTTAGAAAAGGAGAAGGCCTAAAGAATAAAATGTGACAACTTGTGCGGTAGCTGTTTCACCAGACATGTGTACAGATCTACCCAACGCTTGCAGTGTCAACGGTGTAGAAACATCATCACTCAATTCTAGGCTGGACTCATACAAAGGGAAAAAGATAGATATAAGGTAAGAATAAGAATGTAGAATGTTGGACACATTAACTGGTAGAAACAGAGAATTAGTAGAATTATTAAAGAGGAGAAAAGTTTACTTTTGTTGAATACAGGAAATTTAGTGAAAGGGAGAGAAAACAAGGGAAATAGGTGAGAGTTATAAAATAATAAACGCCAGTATATCCAATACAAAGACTACTGTAGGGATAATAATGCATGAGGAAGTAAAAAGTAAAGTAGCTAGGAAAAGTTACAAAATTATAGCCATAAAATTAAGTTCAGTGATAATAGGCGAGAACGTGATAAGAGAGGTGGAACGTTTTAAGTATTTAGGGTCAGTTGTGCAAAAGAGAGATGGTATTGACGAGGATGTAAGACACAGAATTAAGTGCAGGTGGTTGAAGTGGAGAGAAGAGTCTGGTGTCTTATGCGATAAAAGAATTCCAATGAGGCCTAAAGGTAAATTCTACAAGACTGTAGTGAGGCCAGCTATGATGTATGGTTCAGAGTATTGGGCGGTTGATAAGAAAGTAGAGCAGAGAAAGAGTGTAGCAGAGATAAATTAGTGGTGTGACTAGAAAAGATAGAATAAGGAACTAGCATATAAAAGGGAGTTATATCATAGAACCATGATCACCAAACAAAATTTTGTAAATGTAAAGTGTATCAAAGATATTTGTCTATTATTGAAATCTATATAATTAGAGGAAAGCGGGACCAGATGGTACTTGAGACAAGATGACCAGCATAATTTTTATATTATAATATCATAAATATTATTATGATATATTGATACATTACAGAAATTACTAATATAGTTGTTTACTGACGATATAGTGTTCATATGAGGAAATTAATCAAAGACTAGAAGTATGGAGATCTGTTCTTGAAGAAAAGGGTTTAAGAATAAGTAGAAGTAAGATAGAGTATATAGAGTACGAGTTTAACAAAGGAGAACACGAGGTAGGTCAAATGAGGAGATCAGTGGCAATAGGCGAGTGCGTGATTGGAGAGGTGGAAAGTTTTAAGTATTTACGTTGGATTTAAGACACAGTATTATGTGCGGGTGGTTGAAGTGCCTGGCGTATTATGCGATAAAATAATTCCATTGAGGCTGAAAGGTAAATTCTACAAGACTGTAGTGAGGCCAGCTATGATGTATGGTTCAGTGTTGGGCGGTTGATAAGAAAGTAGAGCAGAGATGAGAATGCTTAGATGGATGAGTGGAGTGACTAGAGAAGATAGGATAAGGAACGAGCATATAAGAGGGAGTATAGGTGTAGCGTCAACCGTCGATAAGATGAGAGAAAATAAACTTAGGTGGTTTGGTTATGCTATATGAAAGAGGACTCAGAAGCTATAAGAACAGTTATAGAAATTAATGTTGAAGAAAGAAGAGGTAGAGGAAGAATAAAAAGAGATAAAGGGATGTTATTGAATAGGAAATGAGGACGGTTGATGTGGAAGATCATGTCAAGTAAAAGTTTAGGATAAAGGTAGGCCATCCCAAGTAATTAGAATTAAGGCGAGAAAAAAAAATAAAATATTTGATTGATTTAACACTCTTTTAAAATTTTAAAATTTCTATTATTTTTGTTAAATAGCAATATAAATTATTATTAAGTCAATAAATATAAAATTTTAATGCTTACTTTATCACCAATACATTTTGGCGTGTCAATAATTACACTGCATAAGTATTGTAAAGAACCTAAAGAGCAAATGTCCGTTTGTAGTTTATTTGGTAGCTGTAATTGTATTGGCAAAATTATGTCAAGTGTGCAAACATCATTAGTTGTATACACTGCCGTACTGCGAATATCATACACAGCTCTATCTACAACTATATTCTAAATATTTATAATAGTTTGACATTTCAAATATTATTTCTAACTATATATTGTACGCCTAGATCAAAACTATTCTATATTTATTTGTAAATTTAGTTTATTATGAGAAAAATGTAAACTATTGTAAAAAAAAATGTTACCGGAAATATTAAACAGGAATTGTATTATTGTTTTTAGTTCAACAGTTTTTATCTAGATTTGATACATAAGTACATCCTAGATTTTTATTAAAATAATGGAATAATAATTCTACAAGATTGGAGAGGTGGAGAGTTTTAAGTATTTAGGGTCAGTTGTGCAAAAGAGAGGTGGTATTGACGAGGATGTAAGACACAGAATTAAATGCCAGTGGTTGAAGTGGAGAGAAGAGTCTGGTGTCTTATGCGATAAAAGAATTCCAATGAGGCTGAAAGGTAAATTCTACAAGACTGTAGTGAGGCCAGTCATGATGTATGGTTCAGAGTATTGGGCGGTTGATAAGAAAGTAGAGCAGAGAATGAGTGTAGCAGAGATGAGAATGCTTAGATGGATGAGTGGAGTGACTGGAGAAGATAGGATAAGGAACGAACGTGTAAGAGGGAATATAAGTGTAGCGTCAACCGTGAATAATATGAGAGAAACTTAGATAGTTTGGTCATGTTATGAGGAGAGAAGAATCGGAAGCTGTAAGAACCGTTATAGAAATGAATGTTGAAGAAAGAAGAGGTAGAGGAAAACCAAAAAAGAGATGGAGGGATGCTATTGAATGCGATTTAATGACAGCTGATGTGAGTGTAGATGATGTGGGAGATCGTGTGCAAGTGAAAGTTTAGGATTAGGTGGCCGACCCCAAATATTTGGGATTAAGGCGAGGAAGAATAAAAAGAATAAAACTTCATTTTTTTTGTTTTTCATTATAATTGTATTATTTATAAAATTAAGAATAATATAGTCTGATATTTGTCATGTTTAACTGGTTTTCATTTGACGATTTATATAAGACAATATTTTATTTAAATATTTACCTAAAACCCAATATTTGTGAGTGATGCCATGCAATTTTGGTTTTTGTATATCAGCTTTGCATGTATAGTTTTTACTATCACGTGGCTCTAATTTTGAAATTAATAACTGACCACTATTTAAAACCACTACTGTAGAATCTATATTTTAATACAAGAATTAATGATGAATTTCTACTCAAAACTTAATCAATTAACTTTTTAATGAAAATTGAACAAAATATATTATATAAATAAATATTAATTTATAATTTAAGATTATACATTCAATTAAAAAACTGAAAATATAATGATTATATTTGAAATAAAATTATTGAGAAGAGTCAGTTTATTAAAGCAACTTCAATAATGAAGTTAAGAGTTGAGTTTATAAATCTTTACTTTCAACTAAGGGAAAATAACTACTGGAACTTTCACTTCGGTCTATAATAATTATAGATCGAATTATAAGTATAGAATTTATTAATTATTAATAAATCCATTTTATGAATTTATTTTTATATTAATTTGTTTTAAAAACACCTCTTTTTGTAATAACTTCAAATTTTGCGAAAGTCTAGTTTAGCCTTATAAAGAAAAGTTCATAGTCAATTTAAGTTGGAATTTGAGAGTGCTTATAAACACAATGTGTTTTGAAGCTCAATCGAATCTATTATTAATGAGTTGTAAATAATGCCGTATTGAGTTAATTCATCAATAGTAAGGTTCAAAAAAAAGGGAAATTACAACATAAATCCTTTATTTTATTTTTATAAAAAAGTATTTAAGCATTTAATTTTTTTTTATCTATACAATGATGATCAGCTTGAAAAGTAGTCTTGAAAACTTCTCAATAATCGCGATGTTATCTAATTACTGCATTTGAGCAATTATGTTTCAAACTATGATTTATTCTAATAAATGAGTATTTATTATAAATTTTTATTTTACTAGTTTTAAATTTTGTTTTTTTATATGCCCATCTGTAAGTAACTTTTGCAGTAGAATTGCCTACTTTAGGAATCGTAACTTCACATCGAATCTTTATGTCATTTCCCAACATTCCATGATAAATAGAAAAGTTATCTACAAACATATTTTTAACAATATATTTTTAAAATTTGATAACCCCTGCACTTAACAACTAATTATCCACTTAAAATTATTTACGTTATCATTAAAAATCTTACAAAAATTTCAAAATCAGATAATAATTCTCACAGTGATACCTTGTTAAGTCAACCTTAATTTGATAAAGAAGCAGAGAAAAATTAACCAATGTATCAAATACAAAGCTTTTAAACATAATTTATTGTTTATAACAAGTAGTTTAAAAAAAATGGATGTTTCTATATTCTTATAAAGAACAGAATTATTATCTTAGGAGGGTAATAACATGCAAAACTGTTTCTTGGGAAATCACGTATCATTGCGTTATTTTAATGTGAGAAATCAGATTTATATTAGACCTCACATTTAATTTCGTTTCTTATCATGCTTATCTTTAAAAACAATACAAAATAAGTTATTGAACTTCATTTTACTTCATACCATTACTTACTTTCAGGTGGGTTCACTGAACGATAACTAATAACATCGTCAAAATTAACTGCGATATCGCTGACATTTACAGAATCTGCCTCCATTTCTTTACTAGTATCCTTCAATTCTATATAATCTTCACCAGCAGGCATCATATTAAAATCGTTAGATTCATTATCAGTTTGCATATCTGGCGAAGGAGATATGATGTAGACAGCTGAAGTTGGTTTAAACCATTGACATTTTAATGAGGTGATTTCTTTAGACTTTTTCGCAATTTCTAGTATATTCACAATTGATTCTAATAGTTCATCAAATGAGCACACACAAGCACGTTTGTTAGCTGTCACACAATCTATTTCGTTATCAAACACTCTGTAGGTGTTGTTAGATGAAGTTCCGTTACGTTTTACCATATTTATTGGATGATTAGTCCCATGTTCAACTCGTTTTTTTAAAGGATAAACTTTCGTATTGAAAAACCCATTCGTTATATTTTTTACTATATTAATATATAAAGAAGTGGTTAGTTTTGAAATAAGTCGATTATTTGCTGATTTTATAGCATCAACGTCTTCCTCGATGTTGCTAAAATATTTCTTCATTTGTCTATCATAACTATTTTGCAATGTATAACTCTTTACGATTATAGAGTATAGAAAAATGTCAAACATTATTTTCATAAACATAATCTAAAGATAGCAATTTAGTACTAAACATTTGGTAAAAAATTCTAGAAAAAAAAAATTAATTATTCATAATGATATTTTATAGAAAAAAATCAATAGTTTTAGATCTTTTATATTTCCTTATAATTTTTATTATTTTTAAATTTTAACATTTATGTTACCTAGTTACCACATAAGCACTATTTTACTTGACAAAGTTTGGTTTATTAATGACATCTTTGCTTAATATCTATAAGTATACGGCTCGACAAAATTTATATCATGGAATGTTCATGAAAATTTATTTTTCGTTTCCGATATGTTTTTTGACTTTTAATTTCGAATATTTCCGCAGTTTTTTTTATAATAAATCATGTTTTCAATGACCCTTAACAATATTTATAGCAATATGATAATTAGTGCAAATTTTTAAATAATTCCGTTAAATTTTGCCTTTAATATAAACTTTTCAAATTGAATTTTACAACATTTTTAAAAAAATATAACATTGAACTTTTGTCTAATAACTTTATTGATACTTATGATGTTATTATTGATATATCAATAGAAATTTTTAAGATTCAAAAAATACTAAAACATTGTAAATTGCGTCACTTTTAGTTAATATAACCTCATTTTAAAACTGAAATAACTTATTAAATAAAAAAAAAATTGCTATACTATTAACTTAAAATCTCTTAACAATCTTCAATTTTGATAAAAAAAAATACAGAATTATGTATCCTTTGTAGTTAAAATCTGTGATGAAATAATATTTTGTAAATGCTAACTATTTAATAGTTCTAATAGTTACTAATTATAGTATAAAAAAACCATTAAAAATAGCTGAACTGTCAAATGATTAACTTCCAAATAAATAATATTGAAATATTTTAATCAATCTAATATACTAAGAGTACTTTGAAATAAATATACTGAATGCAAGTTATCTTGAGACATTTAAATTAATCAGGACCCAATTTTAGTTAAAATTTTATACACTTAAATATATGAATACCTTTCATTTATTATTTAAATGTAATATATTCTAAATTATCATAACTTGACAATTTAAACCTAATATATATAAATAATCATCAATATAAACACAATTTAAAAATTATATATTTAAATTAAAACAATAGTAACATTTTATGTCAGAATAATAAAATAAATATGTACATTATTAATCCTAAAATTAAATGAAATTCACTTTTTTCAATTATTAAAAGATGCTAAGTAGCTATTTGTGCTTATGAGATTTCTTCTTATTTTTATGTTTTTTTTTATGTTTATTGTGTTTATGACTTGATTTCTTACTTTTAATTTCAGTCTTTTCTATCCATTCTTCATCAGATGAACTTTGAGTTTTTACTACTGATCTAACTACACTTACATTTCTAACAATTGGTAAAACAGATGGACCATATAATGGCTTATCATCCACTAATACTTTATCAGACTTATTTTTATTTTCAATATTACTATTACTTTTATTATCAAATAATTCTTCAAAATTTAAATTTGCGAAAATTCCTTTAGGAGGAAAGAGTGTAAAATTATTAGTTCCATGACTTGTTTCTGGTGTATCATGTTTCTTTTCTGCTATAATTATTGTATTAGTCATAGAATTGGTATTAGATATAATGGTCGATGTCTCACTAACACTTGGTTCATTAGTAGAATCTTCAATATCACTATCATCTAAAAAGATATCTTTAAAAAAGTCAACATTTGGCTTTACAGCTAAATCAATAGTTTTCTCCTAAAAAAAAAAATACAAATTTAATCAAATTTAGATTAATTCTTTCAATTACAATAAAATTTACTGTAAGATAGAAAAGAGGTGAAAAAAATGAAACCATATTAATATATTATTTTAAAAATTCATCTAAAAATTGTTATATATTAAAATAGAAGACTATAAATAAAAAACTAAAATTGAGTATTAAATAAAACCATTAAAATTATGATTAAAAAATTATTAATAATTTAAATTTTTTAACTTAATAGTAGAGGAATATTGAATAAATAATTAAAACTACAATAAAAAAAATGCAATGATTTATTTAATAAACATTATATCAGTATTTCATAATTATTTATATAGAATGATTATTTGTTTCATACAAACATTTCTTTGATAAAATTCTTGGCAATATATGCCTCATGTAATTGAATAATTTTGTTAAAAATTTAATGTATAATTGCATTCAGTTATCAATGTTTGATAAAGTATGCTAACATAAAAAAGCAAAATTTACCCTTAATGAAGAAGAATTTAATGAATCTTCTGTAATTTGATTGATATCATTAGTGATTAAGGAATTTGTATCAGGAACAACTGTATCATAAAATATTGGCTCAGGTTGTGCAAATCCTAAAGAGCTAAAAAGGCTACATTCACCATGTTTTCTTCCATTATCTTCATATTTTATTCTAAACAATAATTATATTACATATTTCTTTAGTTAATAAAATATTTCAAAATTTTATGAGTAAAAATATAAAATATACTGAATATATTATTTATACTATTGTTTTCCTATTTCTTGACTACCAAATTGTATTATTTTTAAGATTACCCAGAGGAACATCCATAATTCTTAGAATGGAAAGAATGTAATAACATTTTCAAGTTAAGTATACTTACAATATTTTACAAATTAAATATTTACTAGTTTGTAATAAATACTAATGCATTTATAATATTATAAGTATTTTATGTTGTCATACACTATTGATCTTATAATTTTGAATTTACTCAATATATAAAAATTTTGAAACATAAACAAAATTAATTTTTTTTAACTTACACAGTTGCTTTTGGTACAGGTACATTAAACCGTTTACATAATAGTTTATCAGGCACCCATGACTCACTTCTGCGAGTCCAAAATCCATACTTTTTCTGGTCAGCTGCTTCTTGAAGTTTTTGTAATGTTGGGTCTACGGTGCGCTTAACAGGAATTAAAGCATTAGTAGAATCATCAGGTAGTACTGCTCTAATAAACTTATCAGATATAATTGTTGATAATAAATTTGGGACTTCTGTAAATAAAAAATATATAGGTTAATATTTTAATATAGAAAAAATTTAAAACATTCCAAAGATATATGTTAAAAATTGTTAAAATATTAAATACTTCCAAAAATAATTTTTTTTAAATTAGTAAAACTCATTATAGGTAACTTTTAAAGTAAGCTAATAAGTTATGTAATTAAAACCTTTTTAGTTTTAGTTATTATCGAGGTAGACATAATGCCCATGCTCTCAGACCTGTTGGTCCATTGTGCGCAATTAAAACCTTATTGCTGTATTAAAAAAAAATCATTAGAGCCAAAACATTGCTATGCATATTTTATGTTAAAAAATACTTAAAGAATTTTAAAATAACTGTAGAATAGCTACTATAAGCTAATTTTAATAAAATACATTTTTCCCCTTTCTTTAAAAAATTATTTTTTTATCAAATATACCAATCTTTTAAAAAGGTCTTTAATTGTTATTCTTTCTTATCCTCACCTTTTTTAATAAAATCTTCTACTTTGGGTGGAGGTTCATGCTTTTTTATTTCTCGTTGTCTTGTATTAACATTTTTATTAGTACCACTGGTATTACTAAAAAAATCAGCTGGACATTGACCAAGAATTCGTTCAGCCATTCCCTGTGGTCGCCAATCTACAATAAATTTTTTATTAAATAACAACTAGAGGATAATTAAAATTGCATGTAATAGCCATTTTCTTGGAAATATTTATAATGTTTGCACAATGACAATAAAAATTAATTAAAATATTATGCATAATAAGTATTTCTATGGAATTTATAACAATTTTTTAGAAAACCTACTTTAAATGTATAAAAGTCAACCAATTCATTAAATTTATACAATGGTATTTGTTATTACAATAGAAATTAAAAGAGAAAATAATATAATTTATGTAAAAATTTTTAAATAATAACACTTTATTGTTTATTTAAAAAACATATACATTAGTTTATTAAACAATTACTTAAGCTGACAGTAAGGTTTATTTTTATAGATTATTTGAAGTTATAATACAATGGTGGTAACATGTAATTTTGTATAACGGTAAAAATATTTAAAGCTAATTTATTTACCAGGTGGAATATTTGGAGGTAATGGTAATTTTTCAAATAAATTTTTTGAAATATCATCTTCATTTACAAAAATTTCTAAACAATCAGTATCAATGCAATCAATATATTTTTTTTTTTTTAAATTCATAGATTTATTTTCTAAGCTAAAATCATAATTTGTCATATCTTCAATTGCATAAATATCATCATCGTCATCTTCATAAGCCCCAACACCAAATGCCTATCAATTCACAAATAACAATTAAACTAAACATTTTATCATAAATTTTCAAATAAAAAACCTGTCCATGAATTGATTTTCCACCAATTGTTAGTTTACTATACTTATTTTGAGTTGTTAATCTAGATGAAACATTAGCTTGTTTGAGACCTTCATATCCTAATCCGAAAGTGTCAGTTTTAGGTTTGATGGATATAGATTCATATTCAAATGGGGAAACTTTTATATTGCCTAATAATTCATTAATTTCATCTTCATCATTGTCATAAGCAGTATTGGTTTTAAACTTCATTCCAACAGTTTCTAGCTCTTTCTTTGTTCGTAATTTTTCTTTTTGTGTAACTTGTGGTCCAACACCTTGACCAGGTTTCCACCCCATACTTTTAAGTAACTCAACACCCCAAGTATCTCTAAAAACATTTTATTTTAAATACTCATTACAATAATAAAAAATATTTTTACAACTATAGAATTTTATTTTTAATTTATTACATACCCTATCATTAAGTTGGATATTTAAAATTTTTGTCATCCAAAAAAACACTACAAATAGAAATCAAAGGTGCCTAAATCTAACAAGCACATAGACTATCCCACATCAATCCTGGGTGTCATAAGGGGCAAACATTTACCATAATTTTCACCATTCTACAACATCATGACTACATAAAATAATTTATTTTAATAGTCATGATGATACTTCAAATTCTATTTTTGTATTAAGTTGACAAACAAATATTCAAAATCCCGGTATTATTATTATTTTGTCATACTCTGTATCTTAATTTTTCTAAGGTTAGTTATTAAACATGAATATTTAATTTCATATGATACAAGGTTTTTTTTTCAAAAATTATTTTATCTAGTTGGTACTTTCACTTTTTTTTTGTACAAGTTGATATTGAAAAAATAATGATAGTAGTGTCTGTATCATTTGATAATTCAAGATTCAAAAATTGAAATAGATTTCTAAACTAATATATAAATTTTTATTGATTTATTTTTTAATTATAATTATGTTACTGTATTAACAGTCTACTTAGAAAAATGATCACTTTAACTATTGATTATTCACTCTTATGCAATGAAAAGGTAATTTTGAAAATTCACCTTATAGGTTTTAATATTTCTCCTAAAACAGGTTTTCCTGGTATTGGACCAGTATTAATTTCTGGTAAATGACGTTTTCTTGAAGAATTATCACTGTACTCAGCTTTAACTTTTAAACTAGATGGATCAATTCCCAAATCTTTTTTGTCCTACAAAAATAATTATAATTAAGTTATTACTTTGTTATTCATTATTCATATATTTTACTTCATCATCCATAAAGTCATATGCATTTTGAGATCTTAACAAAGCTTTTGAATCTCTTGACGACTTAAAATTACTGGGTGTCCATCCTTCTAAAGAACCTACAGTATTATAAAATCCAGCAGAAAATCCACCAGTAAAAGCTCCATGAAATCGTCTCCTCCCATTTTCATCCTTAACAAACTGTGGTTCGCCATCTTTACGTTTCACAACTTCATCTATTAGAAATTTATAAATCAAAATGAAACACATGAATTAATAAGATAAAGTGAATTCTTACTAACCTTCTTGAATGGGATCAAGTAGAGATCCAAAAATAATCGATGTGTCAATTTTTCCAGACATAATGTTTTACCAGTGAAAACAAATTTAGTTAATTAATTAAATTTTACATAAATCTAAGAGAGTAGTTTGAATTTGTCTTTAATTGTGATAACGTATTATCAAATAAATAATAGCGCATGCGCTACACTGGTAACCACTACAGCAATTAAATGGAACAAAAAATGTATTGTTTCAACAAAATTTCGTTTTCATTCAAAAACAATCTAATTTAGACTCAAAAATAAATTTCAATGTTATTTTGATTTTTTGCCTCTTCAAAAGAATAATAAGGAGATTATCTTTTATTTAAATCCGATTTAAATTATTATATAAAATTTAATGTATGTCTATTTTATAAATTTTTATATTAATATGTATTTATTAAGGAAGATCAAATTTGTTACAAATTATTAATTTTACTATTCAATTGAATTATTAAAAATATAGCATAACTCGTAAATCCTAGTGCATCCCTATGGGAACTCAATAAAAGTTAATTTTAAGATAATTGTGAACAATTAGTGATATCAAGTTTTTCTTATTTAATGCTTTATAAATATGTATCTCAATTGTTAAGCGAACTCGAACTATTCGCCACGACAATTTTTTATGAATTTGAAATTAAAAATTTAATAGTATTTTCCTTTTTTTGACATTAATTGTGTTTGGAGTTTGTCACTTGGTTATTTAATTAATTGTAAACAAAAATTAACAAATATTTTGCAAATTACGGTTGATCATATTATATGATCCATTGAATTCTTAGAGTAATACTGTATAATTGAACTTTTATACTGATTACTATTTTCCCTAAAAAAAATTTTGGACAACATTCACCCACATTAATTACTTAGTTTAGAACAAACTAATATTAAATGCACTGGTCACGACAAAGATAGCGGAAACGAATGTGCGATCCGTTTTTGCTATGAAATTATTTAGAAGGGGGAATATATGGCGAACAATGAATTATAGCAGCAAACATGTTTTCTTCACGATACAAAATAACAATGGAAAATCGCAAAGATATGTGTTAAATAGTGGAAAGCGCCATTACTTCAAAAGTCTCCCTTCTATGGGAAATTTATAACAAAACCGAATTGTCTGATAAGGAGATTTATTCAAGTTAAGTGACCAGTCCATTTTATCTACAGTCTATGTTTTATCTTAATTTGTGATTTTAGAAGTAAAAAAAAACAACTAATGTGAAATAATTAACTACACTCTATCTATGTTTAAATCTATAAAAAACCTTTAAATTTTTATTCTTATAAACAGCATATTAACTCATGAGAGAATTATATAAACTTCTACTATTTGTAAAAGAAATATATTCATTAAATTATTTACTAAAAATGATAGTTTTATATCAAATTTATTCAATCAAATACATAAAAGTAAAGTTTACACAAAGCATATCATTCCAATTCATTCTCATATTCAATAGAAACATGAGGTCTTGATTTGGATTTCTGTTTTACTTTTTTTGCTGCCATTTCCTATAAAAAAAATTTATTTACAAAAATTAATACATAAATAAAGTTTTTATTTATTTATGAAAATTTGTCCCTGTGGATAGGAGGATAAGAATACTTCCACAGCCCCGCTGCCAGTCATAAGAGGCGACTAATGAGGTTGCATCAAGTTGACAGTTGCCTAAAAATTTTTGTCAAAAAGTATGAGGAGGTCTGAACATAACTTAGGTGGTTTGTTCCATCTCATATGGACGCGGATGTAAGAATAGGTGAGAGAAAATAAAGTAGTTAAAAAAAAAAAAATGTCAAGTGGAAGTTTAGGATTAAGATAGCTGACCCCAAGTAGTTGGGGTTAAGGCGTGGAAAAAGAAGAAAGAAGATTTATTTATGAAAATTGATAATACTTCAATATCTTCTATTTCTTCTTCTTCATCATCAGAACAAACAAAATCAGAAAGCTGTTCTTTTTCTTCTTCATCACTGTCATATAGTTCATCGTTATCTTCTGCATCCATATCCGATTCAGCAGCTGTATACTCAACATTTTCATCCTAAATTGTTATAAAAATTTATATAATAATTTAAAACGTTATAGAAACTTTAATTATTTAAAAATATACTTCATCATCTTCTCCTTCTTGTTCTAATGCTTTTTCAAATGCTTGTTGGTTGATATTGTACATATCACCGTACTTAAAAAAAAAATACAAACTACAGATATATAAACTCATACTCATTATAGTTGCAATATTAAGATACAAAGTTTTTAGTAAAAAAACAAATAAACTAAAAGATTTATAAAATAACAAGTATTTTTTGCAGAAAATTTTGGTTTTACAAAATCCTTTTTGTATTTATTCCAATATAAAATCCAAACATATAATGTGAACATAAAAATATATTTTAGAGGAAATAAATATTTTTATTTTAGAATTTGTAATACTCACTGAGGCTATTCAAAAATATTTGAAAATTTCAAATTTTTAACATAAGAGTTAGAAATTTACTATTATATAAAAAGTTTAAATTTTAATAGATTTTATAATACTCTAGGAATTTAATTGCAATACATTAAGAAGAGAATTTCTTAACATGTTCTTATAATGTACTCTATAAAATGGCTATATTGATTTTTTTTTTTTTCAAACATTTCTGATAATTAAAAAAAAAAATGTAAAAATAATTTACAATATTAATACAGTCCTACACTCTAAAAATATTTAAAAAATAATAATAATAAATATTCAGAGGATCAAAAGTTACAGGATTTTTCAAAATAGGCTGGTATACCTGTATATTTCTCTGGTATACCTGTATATTTCTCTGGTATACATAAAAGAAAATCATCTAATTAAGAAAAGACTGGCCAAACATTTTTTTTTGTTAAAAAGTGATTTTTGTTCATAGTAGTATCATTTATTGATATTACTTTAGAATTTCTTTAGAAAGTTGTATCTAGTAATTCGAGGATAAATAAGTTAAAATCATAGATGAATATATTATACAATTTAAAAATATAATTTTAGTAATAAGACATACTGTATTATATTTAATAAATTTGTTATCTATGAGAAATATAAAAAATTAGCACTATAGCTAATAGAGGTAGATAACACTGATTATTTCAAATAAAATATGAAAATCATAAATAAGTTTGCCCATAAAAATAATGAAGCATTATCACAAAAATTATTAAATTTCAACATTTCTTTATTATTAAGTTATACCAATTTAATGTTTAATTAATAAATTAAAATTTATCTATAGAATCAAATTATAATACCTATAATGAAAAACCTATAATTGGCAAAATTATGCTATACTGTACAACAGTTTTGTCAAAATTTCAGGTACTATAATAAAATTCAGTGACATTATATTTCACAGAGTTTTTCTATTTTTGAGATTTATGATAATCTTACATGGTATATTCCAGCTGCCCAACAATTCAGCTTCTAAGAGGTTCATTTCTAAGCTAATATCTTATCAACCCAACATAATGGTAAAATATTAAAAAGTAGGTAACTTATATTATAATAATTATAGTAATGTACAATTATAATCTATAGAAACACTAATTTATGAAATACATACAACTCCTTTTTTAAGTCTTTCAATCAATTCTTTTTCTATAACATTATCTAAACGGGCAGCAATCTCTGCTTTATACTCTCGTCTTTTGACTCTTTTTTCAACTTTTCTTGGCATAGAAATTAATTCCTTTCTGCAATAATTTTATTAATATAAAATCTAGAGATTAAATTAATAATGAAGTTCATTACTGTGTTTTTAGTTTAAGTTTTCGCATTCTTATAAGATATTGAGTAATTCTAACAAATCTTTGTTTGCACATTGATTTTAATGGACCTGGCCAGTACAGCATATGCTCATTCATTTGCTGAATAGCTTTTTGAAAATTTCTTGAAAGTTTTATTTTTTCCCATTGCCTTTTAGGATATACTGATCTATATTTAAAAAGATTTAAATTATATTTTATCATTATTAGATATTACAATACTAATTTACCTTTCAGCGGTTTTTAAAAATAAATATATGATACCCTTCTCTTCTCTGACAGTAGCATATTTACTGTTTGCTAAAGGACAATGAGTACGATTACATAATCCAGTTAGATTATATTCATTTCTACAAAAGCTCGATGAATCAGTTCTGCAAATTATAGTTACATTAATTTCAAAAATTAGACATAGAGAACTAATGTTTACTTACTTTATTTTGAATGAACAAAAGGTATCTTTAATTATTGACCAAACTATCTACAAAAATAAAATAAAAATATTTTATAAAATTGTAATCATAATAAATAAAAAAGTAGCTCACATCATCTTGATCCATTTTTAAAATTAAAATTGAATATTTCAAATAAAGTATTCTTAAGATTTGTTGTTGCCAGCAAAAAACCACATGGCTTAATATTTTGGATTAACTGATAACCACTTAATGATAAAAATAATCACAATATAATCACCAAGTAGATAAAATTTATTCTATGATATCATCATAGAAATCATCTAGGCTTCATTCTGTTACTTTCATTTACTGATATAACTTACGTTGATAATAGTTGAAAATTTGTCAACAATGTTGTAGTTTTACTATAAGCCACTTTCATTATTAAATTTTAGCTGAATAACTGTACAAAATCATGCAATAATATTAGAATATTAATTTTTATAATTTATGTAAAATAATTCACTAGTTTTCAAATGTAGGATGTTAAGACATTCATCTTAGTAAGTTCCTTTTTGTCAAGTACAAATTTACAAATTATATTTACACATTTTATATGTAATTGTGATAAAATATGATTTTGAATTCAATTTTTTTCAATTTTAAATATAATTGATAATTATAATTGTTTTATATTATACATTTAAGGTATGGCATTTAACAAAAAAACCATAACTGGTTCAAGACCTCAACTTAAAGAAAAAGTTGTTCAAATATACGAGTTATTTTTTATGGTATGTATTTTATATTTCTTATATTTTTAATAATATTTTTATTTTATTACTCAAATATAAGTAGTAATTGAATAGTTTCTAAATATTTTATATAACTAATTTATGTGATTTAAAAATTTAAAGACTACTTTGTTAATGAATATCCAGATATAGTTAAATCTGTTATTTTTAAATTAAAAAAAAACCCAGCACAGTGAGGTCACGGCATAGTGAGGATGTTGCATAGTTGGGTCCAGTATAGATTTAATCTGATAGTCATTAAAATCACTTTCATAAGATACGCTTCGGTGCAAATCTGTAGATATTGTTTAATTCTAAGAAATTGATGGATAATTACAAAAGCAACATCAACTTCTGTTTCCTTAATTATACCCAGATTAGTAATTCTTTTAATTGTATATTATATAATTTTTTTAAATTAATTGTTTTCATATTATTATTGATTTTGATTTTTAATATGTTAAAAGTAATCATTTTGAACCTACTTTTTTTTGTCCTTTAAAGTGAAAGTTTTAATAAAAAAAAAGTGAATTTATTACCATAATTTTTAGCCCAACTTGCAAGTTTGAAATTGACATTATTAAATAAAAAAAAATGAAATTGTTAAGATTAATATGCAATCAGAAAATTTTATAATTACTATTTACAGTACATTTAACAGAAAAGTTCGATTTTTATTTACATTTTTATCATAATAGATCACTTAAATAAAAATCATAGTAATCATTTCTAATTAACTTTTGGCATTTAAAAAGATTCTACAATGGAAATATTTAGAATTTAATTAATATATCTAAAAAAAACACATCATAGTAAAATTAATACCTTCTCAGCTTCGCATCGAAGCTAAAAGTTGTTAAAAAGATATACTTAATTTAGCGTATTATAAAATTTGATTATAATTGTAAAAATCCATCGTTAAATTCAGGTGAAACTAAAAATAATTTTTTTTTAAATTTATGATTTATATAGCAAAATGTACAAAAAAATTTGGAATATTATAGACTGGTAGTAGCACACACAAATAGAGTTAAAAAATTAATAAATTACAAAGTAAAATTATTTATTTTTATAATTGAATACTTTTATCATATCAAATCTAATTCGACAATAAATAGTTTAAGAATATTAGAAATTAATGATTTTAATTGTTTGTATGGAAAAAGCTGGTTAAGCTACTTTTTATTTGAATAAGGAATATTTTTTTGATTTTTAAGAGTAATAACTTAAACTAAATATGAATTGTAATAATTTGACGTATTGTTGAAAAAAGTAGGTCGTCTAGTGAGGGTTGGCAAAATAAATCGTAGCTACAAAATGAACCATATAGTAAAATAATATTAACATGAGTATAAATTTCTTCTCACGAGGGGAGACTATAGTCATAGGATCCTTTATATTTATTGAAGTTATTGATTCTAAATGAGATAAATATCAAATGATTTGAACATTTTATTTTAACTCAAAAAATATGCAAAATATTAATTGCCATAGACGGATTTGAACCTCGTACCCTTAGGGTGAAAGACACAAGTGTTATCGATTCAGCCACTGTTCGTTGTTTTTGTCGCATAATAAAATTAGCAATTTAAGCTAGTTCAAATTAAAAAATTACTTTTTCGACTTTAAAAAAGTAAAAAAATTTTAATAAGTTTAATTTCTTATATCTTATGAACTTTATTCTATGTCAATTAAATTATGTAATATTCATGAAAGTCAGTGTATTCCCCTAATAAGATATTTTTAAATAAAATAAAATACAAAACCCAGAATTTTAATACAAAAATAGCATAATTTTGAATACGGTAGCCATTTGCGCATTGAAGATAGGTCATCAGGACAATTTTTTTTTTTTAATTTTATCTTTAATTTGACATATGTTTAAAGGACGCAGTATTTTGCTGAACATTTTCAAAAGTTAAGTTGAAAAAGTTAGTTTTTGTAAAAAAGTTGCTATTTTAAATCCTCCCTGTGAGCAGAATAAGTGTTAGATTTTCAAAAAAATGATATCAAATGAAATGGAAATATCTAAGGTTTTAGTACAAAAAAAAAATTATGTTGACTTGTTAATTTTTGAAAAAGTTATAGAAGTTTTAAGAAAAAAAAGTGATAAAAATGACAAAATTTACCGATCTTTGAATTTGTAATTTTTTTGGAGATTTCCTCAATTTGCAGGGAACGAGGGAAAGTTTTTCAAATTTTAAGGGTAATGTCTTCAACTAGATACGATTTGTGATCTTTTGACATATTGTTGAAAGAAATTGGTCCAGTAAGAGCTGAGAAAAAGTGACAACAGACATAAAAAAAAAAAAAAAACACATCATGATA